CCATTAAAGCCCAATACGTTCCACCAAAGCCCAAACCATTCACTAAAGCCCAATACGGTTCATGAAAGACCAATACGATCCATTAAAGCCCAATATGTTCCATTAAAACTCAATATGGTCCATTAAAGCCCAATACAGTCCATTAAAGCCCAAATACGGTCCATTAAACCCAATACGGTTCATCAAAGCCCAATACGGTTCATCAAAGCCCAATACGGTTTATTAAAACCCAATACGATCCACCAAAAGCCCAAACCATTCATTAAAGCCCAATACGGTTCATTAAAGTCCAATACGGTTCATTAAAGCCCAATACGTTCCATTAAAGCCCAATCGTTCCATCAAAGCCCAAACCGTTCATTAAAGCCCAATATGGTTCATGAAAGACCAATATGATCCATTAAGGCCCAATACGTTCCATTAAAGCCCAATATGGTCCATTAAAGCCCAATATAGTCCATTAAAGCCCAAATACGGTCCATCAAAGCCTAATACGGTTCATCAAAGCCGAATACGGTTCATCAAAGCCCAATACGATTCATTAAAACCCAATACGATCCACCAAAGCCCAAACTGTTCATTAAAGCCCAATACGGTTCATTAAAGCCCAATACGGTCCATTAAAGCCTAATCGTTCCATCAAAGCCCAATACATTCAATTAAAGACCAATACGGTTCATTAAAGCCCAATACGGTTCATGAAAGCCCAATACGGTTCATTAAAGACCAATACGATCCACCAAAGCCCAAACCATTCATTAAAGCCCAATACGGTTCATTAAAGCCCAAAGCGGTTCATTAAAACCCAATACGGCTTATGAAAGCCCAATACGGTTCATTAAAGATCAATACGATCCACCAAAGCCCAAACCGTTCATTAAAGCCCAATACGGTTCATGAAATCCCAATACGGTTCATGAAAAACCAATACGATCCATTAAAGCCCAATATATTCCATTAAAGCCCAATACTTCCTTTAAAGCCCAATCATTCCATCAAAGCCCAATACGTTCAATTAAAGACAAATACGGTTCAATAAAGCCCAATACGGTTCATGAAAGCCTAATACATTTCATTAAAGACCCAATACGATCCATTAATGCCCAATACGTTTCATTAAAGCCCAATACGGTTCATTAAAGCCCAATACTTCCATTAAAGCCCAATACGATCCATTAAAGCCCAATACGTTCCATTAAAGACCAATACATTACATTAAAACCCAATATGGTTCATGAAAGCTCGATATGGTTCATTCAAGACCAATACGATCAATTAAAGCCCAATAGGATCCATTAAAGCCCAATACAATCCATTAAAGTTCAATACGATACATTAAAGCCTAATAGAAATTGGTAACAAATTTAAAAAAATATTTAGAAATCCGCCGGAAATTGTTAATTCTTTTTCTTTTTAAAATATTTAATTATCCGCTGAAAATCCGCCAGAAATGGTTAAAAATATTTAATTGTTCGTCGGAAATCCGTCGGAAATTGTTAATTCTTTTTCTTTTTAAAATATTGAATTATCCGCCGGAAATCCGCCGGAAATGGTTAAAAAAAATTTAAAAATATTTAATTATCCGCCGGAAATCCGCCGGAAATTGTTAATTCGTTTTTTTTAATATTTAATTAGCCGCCGGAAATAGTTAAAAAATTTTTAAAAATATATTTAATCGTCCGCCGGAAATCCGCCTGAAATTGTTATTTCTTTTTTTAAAAAAATATTTAATTATCCGCCGAAAAAGGTTAAAAAAAATTAAAAAAATATTTAATTGTCCGCCGGAAATCCGCCGAAAATTGTTAATTTTTTTTAGAAAATATTTAATTATCCGCCGGAAATCTGCCAAAAAAAGTTTAAAAAAAATCAAAAAAATATTTAATCGTCCGCCGGAAATTGTTAATTCTTTTTTTTAAGAAAATATGTAATTATCCTCCGGTAATGAGAGAAGATTAGATGTAAATTCAAGATTAATGTGCATACTTATGAATTCCGCCGAAAATCCGCCGAAAATGGGTGGGAGTCAATGATATGTTGACTTTTTTGGTTTCCGCCGTTAAATTACCGGCGGATTCCGTCTGCCAGAAATGGCCAGTTTTCTAGTAGTGGTGGTTTTGAGAAAAAAAATGTTTTTATTTTTTAATGAAATATAAATTTGAAGATATTATAAAATTTTGATAAAAATAAGCGATATTAGTATCAAATTAACTATTTAAAAGTATTTTTCTGTGTAATTTCTTTAATTCAACTTTTTACTATGATTTAATTGAATTTTAAAAATGAACTAATTTATTTTTGGTTTAATAAAATAATTTATTTAAGATAATAATTAAGTATTTTGTTAGAACTCAATTATTATCTTAATTATATTATATATTTTTTATATTTAAAATAAATTTTATCATGTATTTGATTATTTTTATCTACAGTTAGTTATACGAATTCAAACATGAAGTTTTAATAAGATGTACTTATGCACATTCTACTTGTGATCTTGAATTTTAAGTAATATGCATCAATAAACAATATTTTATGCATAAAAAAATATTTTTAAAAGTTTTTATCAAATGTTTTATAATATAGTATAAATAGTATAGATATAAACAAAGAATAAATTACATAAATCATTCTCATTGTTTACTAAAACTGTGAGAATTGCTACTCGAATTTCGGTATTACGTCAGATACCTTATGGTCTCCATTTTCTTACACCCACCATGTTGGCGCCCTAATAGACGTTAAAAGCCATACATTGAGGACTTCTTTTTAAAAAAGAGAAAAGTCTAAAAAAACATAATATATTTTAGTGTTTGGGATGATTAAGTTTTTAGACAATTATTTAAAACAAATAAGTTTTTGGACATTTTTAAAACCTATTAAATAACTTTTTGAACTTCTTAAAACCTGTTAGATACATCTTTATGACCTATGAAACTGTTTAATATGGTAAAATAATGAAAAAGTGGAAAAAAAAAACCAATGAACTATCGTATTTAGAATGATTAAGTCTCTAAACATTTTTTAAACCAAAAAAGCACTTCCATTCAAAAAATATTATTGATGAAATTTATTTTAATTAAAAATAAAAAAATATAATGTCTGTAATTTTCAAATTAAAATAAGATTTAAAAAGAATTACTAATTAAATTTATTTTAATTAAAAATAAAATATATTCATATATGATTTCTTAAATTAAAAAAGATTTAAAAAGTATTACTAATGAAATGTATTTTAATTATAAATAAAACTTATTTCGTTCATAATTTTTTAAATTAAAAAAATAAAAAATAATTTGATTAAAGTACTAACGGATTAAGGATAAAGTTTAACTGAATAAATAATCGATTAAAATTCGTCGGTAGTGTTCTTTAGTATATATGAATCGGTTACTTATATCTAATTGATGGATAACTTGACCACCGTCAGACTCTAACAAAGTAACATGTTAATAAGTGTGAAAGATCGTGCTTGAATCTTGTCGGTGATATCATTTCACGAAGGATTAGCGACGAATTTTAATTAATTATGTATTTAGTTAAATCTTATCGTTAATCCGTCAGTAATTTAATCAAATTATTTTCTATTTTTTTAATTTAAAAGATCACCAATAAAATATATTTTATTTGTAACTAAAATAAAAACTAAAATAAATTCCATCGGTAATCTTTTTTTTTAATTTGAAAAATCACTGACAGAATATATTTTATTTTTTATTAAAATAAGTTTCATCAATAATCTTTTTAAATGTAAGTGCTTTTTTGTGTAAATATTTTTTTGGTATATTTGTTTCATTTTATATATGTAAGTATTTTATTTGGTCAAAAAATGTTTAGGGACTTAATCGCTCAAAATATGAAAGTCCATTGGTTTTTTTTTTCCAGATTTTTTTCATTATTTTACCACATTAACCAGTTGTATAGGTCATAAGAATGTATATAACAGGTTTTAGAAAGTCCAGGAAGATATTTAACATGTTTTGAAATGTCAAATGACTTATTTGTTCCAAAAAAATTATCCAAGAACTTAATGTCAATTGGGTTTTTTAGACTTTTCCCTTAAAAAAAAAAGCTCTTATCAGTCTTTTAATCTGATTCGTTAAAAAGTAGGGTCATTTAGACTATTTTTTTTCCAAATTTTCAAAGGAACTCATGTCTTCTTGTCCTCTTATCTGGTAAGAGGTAAATCAACCTATTATTTATCTCTTATTGTTCTCCAGACCTTCAACAACAGTGTTTCTCAATCATTTAATCTTAATCGATCTTTTTCATTCAATCGATCCTTACTAAATCGATTCTCACCTCCCTTGATCAATGTATTTTAATAAGATTTAAATGTGTTAAATACCGTCAATGACATATTTTCATTTAAATGAATGCTAATTATATAGTTTAGATGTAAATTTTGTAATGATGATGAATAAATATGTGAAGTTGTATAAATTTATCTATAAATTCAACGTTATAATGTTCTAATGGATAATATAGATAATTTAAACAAATTCAGACATTTATCAGTTTACAAAAATAAACACTCTTGTTAATTCAAATTTCAGCACCACCTCTTATCAATCAGAAGTGAAATAAAACTACATACTTCAACACATCTTAAAAAACAAACATCATAAAAATGTCTCTCACATGCTAATCATGAGGTTATTTTCCTTTTTTATCTTTTCCCCTTCTTCCTTCATCACTCATCTTCCTCCACCTTCTTTTCCTACACTTGGAAATTAAAAAAACATTGAGAACAATACAAGATTCAAGAATAACATATAAAAGAAAACTATCAACAATACATTCTTATCAAAACTCTTAAGAAAAACACAACCACAAGAGTGATTTCTGATTAGTTTGAGCTTGGGTTTCAAAGGTCAAAAATGTCTGAAGGTCTCAGGTTCAAATCCAAAGAGAAACAAAAATCCTCTTATGGCCACGAAGGTTCAAATGCGGTGACTTTGGGTTACCTACAAAGCAAGTGCTCGTCCTAAGATTAGTCGACTCCCATAGCGAGTTGGATATCCAGATTAATAAAGTATGTTTTATTTTAATTCAATTTATCTAAAAAAAATACAAATATTCTTAAATGATTTACTTTTTACTCTTAAAAAGATACATGTGAATGAATTATGCAAACATGCATGCATTGTCCAACCTAATAATCAAGTAAAACGACCAAACCACTCACATCCCAAGTAAAGTGAAAAAGGAGTATTATTACTTTTTTAAGTGCAACTTTACACCATTGTGAATCTATAACCATCGTATGTTAGGATCCCTAATCATCCTTGGATCATTAGTTGGTTTTCCGTTAATTTTTATATGAGTAAAGTTATATGTATAGATTAATATGTCTGTATAAATTATAAATGCTATTATTAGGCATAGTTTTTTCATAAATGGTGTTGCATGTTTTTTTAATTGAGTGAGATAGGCTAGAAAAAACTTGGATTTTTCTGTATAAAACTCCTCCTAGAAGCTTACTGAATAAGCCACTTTCTATAAACATTAAACGACTTTCAAACAGTGATGTGTACCTGATCGGATAAATTGTATTAAGTTCATTAAGCCGCCAACAAACATGCCCTTAATTGGACTTCAAATTTACAATTCAATATTTTTATACCATATATAAAGACATTACAATAAGGGACCTACAACCTTCTTTTGTCCTTATATAACAAGGTTTTGGTAAAGCATAGAAGCACCAAAACCACAAGCCCATACAAGTGCAAGATATGCTTCATTCTTGCCATTTGCTTTTCATATGCTTCTCATTTCTTGCAAGATTTTCAAATGCTCAAAGCAATCAATTCAAAGGAACCAAGAACTATGAGGGCTCTTCTAATCTTTTAGATCTTCAATACCATATGGGTCCTATCCTTACATCTCCTATAAACCTATACATCATTTGGTATGGCAATTGGAACCCGAAGGACCAATCCACCATTAAAGACTTCTTATATTCCCTTTCATCGTCCTCTTCTGTCTCTCCTTCGACCTTCGACTGGTGGCAAACAGTCCGTCTTTACACTGATCAAACCGGCTCCAACATTACTGAGAGCATTAGTCTCTCGGGAGAGTTCATAGACTCGAGATACTCTCATGGGAAGTTCCTCACTCGTTTATCTATCCAATCAGTGATCAAGAGTTCACTCGACACATTGTATAGACCGCTACCTCTTAACTACAATAATGGTTTATACCTTGTGCTAACATCATCTGATGTTCAGGTCCAAGATTTTTGTAGGGCCGTGTGTGGATTTCACTACTTTACATTCTCATCTATTGTGGGTGCCACGTTGCCTTATGCTTGGGTAGGTGACAGTGGAGCACAATGCCCCGGCGTTTGTGCCTACCCGTTTGCATGGCCCAAATACTCGGGCATGCCAAGCGGTAACAAGAACATCATGGGTGCACCAAATGGGGATCCAGGAATAGAAGGAATGATAAGTGTAATTGCTCACGAGCTAGCAGAGGTGTCAACCAACCCGTTTGTGAATGCTTGGTACGCCGGGAATGACCCAAGCGCCCCAGATGAGATTGCAGATTTATGCGTAGGGGTATATGGGTCGGGCGCGGGTGGTGGATTTGTGGGGCATGTTTACAAGGACAAAATGGGAAATGGATATAATCTGAATGGAGTGAAAGGAAGGAGATTTCTTGTGCAATGGGTTTGGGATCCTATAAAAAGGAGTTGCTTTGGGCCCAATGCAATACAGTGATACTTTCCTTTTTCTAAAAATTCCTTTTGCAATACATTATCTTTTATAGTATTTATCAATAACTTATTACTTAGTAGACATGTAATAATATAAATTGTATAAGCCTTTGTACACAAATAGAAAAGTTGGAAGCATTTAGAGCATTTTTACAAGTAATTGAATATGTTTTGAAAGAGATTATTACGACTCCCAAATCAGATAAGATAACCAGTATAGTAAAGTCCGAGAGCAGTAAGCACTTTTATACTTATCTCAGTAGAGTTGGGTTCATACGAGAATGATATCTATGTAACAAAATAAGAGAATGGTCGAATCACATGTGATTTTACACTAACATCAGGTACAAAATCATGTCAATCATGCGACCTTGCCATGCGGCCATAGGGTTGTCGCACACTGTTTTGCCCGTTAATGTAAAATCACATGTGATTCTATACATAATTTGGCCATTCTCTTATTTTCTTAAATAGGTATCATTCTCGTATGAACCTACATCTATCTCAGTAATCAATTTACTTATACGACGTTTTACTCGTGTTTTCAAATATGATTCCTTCAACCATATATAATCAAAATATTGAAGTCATAATCTTTTTTGTAAGCAAACACTCAAAACCAAGGGGTTGTTTACCAAATGTTCATTGGGTAAATGCTTACCAACAAGAGCCACAACCCCACTTACCTTGTTGTCGTACCTATTATCGAGTAAGATTCTTGGTCCTTGTCATGCTCACCCGATAAGATAAATGACCCGGTAAACATTTGATAAACGGCCTCTGAAGTATTAAGATTCTAAATAAATTTTGGATTGCAATGAGGGAGAAACTGAATCAGTCTCTTTATCACATGACAAATAACATCAATACCATAATGTCTGGAGGTTATATTTTTTTACTTATTGCAAGATTAATATTAAGTTTATGATAATCATCAAGTTTACAATTAGGGTTTCATGTAATTAAGCTATTAAAGTTTAAGTTTAAACACATGATCATCATTAATAATGATTAATTTACACCACCATAATCGGCATATGTAGATCTGTTACCAACTCTCATTTGCAGCAATAATCGATCCAACTAATACGATTTCCATGTTTGTTTATGTTTGGTATCTTGAAAAAGTTGAAATCGAACAAAAGGACAAGAACTATAAAAGAATAAGAAGACGTTCTAAAAGGTTGAAATGTTATTATAGTAGAGGAAAGCTCGGTTGATAACTTCATTTCCATTAAGAAGCGGGGAACCATTGAGAGCGTGTCATATGGGCCTATTCATCATGAATAATAGATGTTAATTTGTTACAACATTCATGATGAATGTGTGGCAAACTCTAGGTGGTTCCCCGGTTCACAATGGACAGGCTGTTCTCAAGAACCTACCCCTATTCTGGGATTACCGTTAAAATGTTACAACCTCGGATGGTATGCTATGAACTTTAATCAAACTTGAGAATAAAGAACAGTAAAGCAACAGATGATTGGTTATTAGTTAGAAAAACCTGTACAAGAAACTTACAGTCATATAGTTCTTGTTGACAGCATCAGGGATCTTGGTTTCAATAACTACATTTTTCATCATTTCCTCCAACCATTTGAGCTGTCACCAAATTATGTTAAGGTTCATGTACGCTATGTTCATGTTGCCAAACTCTTAAGACTGTTCAATCTCCAGATTCTGGATCCATATCAACACCATTCTCACCTGCCACACATCTCACTATGTTTAGTTCACACAAATACCATACTTCTTCATATACAAACGGGCTCATTGATAACAATTCTGAAAAGACAATAGGGTAGCAGACTAGGAGCGGGGATCAATAACTAGCTTAGCCAGGAGGAAGGATGAGGGTAGCTTGGTAGGGTTAGCAGATATGCCTCATGACCACTAGGTTACGCTACGGGTGTGTAGGTATTCTTACCCTTGTTATGTTTTCTTGCCCCAATTTTTATGTTTCAATACTGAATCTTACTTCTAACCTGTTTTTCAAAGTTTAGCACAACCTTTCTTGTTTTCAATCTTTATTTTATTTTATTTTTGTTTTTCTCACACACTTTGCACAAGCCGGAGGTCTTCAAAAGGAAATAATTGTTCAACTCTTTTGGGTGGAGGCAACCAGGTCTGTGTACATGCCACCCCATCAAGACCCCACATCCGGGTGGGATATATAGGGCTTGTTTGGTAAATTTGACAAGTTAACATTGGATAATAGCTTTGGTAAATTTGACAAATATATTCATTGTTTTCCCATTAGAAATGCCAGTATAAGACAAGTTATATGGAGAGATTTGAAATAAGTAATAAAGGGATATACCATTATTGCTAAAAGGACTTCGAGGACTGTGAGAATCCAACGTTTTCACCTTCGTCAGGACTGCTTTTACATCGAACACTTCATTTGGAGAGCCTTTTGTCAGATCATGTTTATCGCTGTTATTCACAACTGAAAGATTATGACTTGCCACCGAACTAGATCCGTTCTTTTTGGCTTTAAAAACCCCCCATAGATAGTACTTCCCTTGAAATCCTGCAAAAGCATTTGATCTCAAGCCTAATAAACAAATAGTTCATATTATTTAAAGTAGGGTATCTTCAAGGACTCACTCGAGAAAAGCTGAGGCAGAACTCTAGAAGTGAAAATCAATAACTCTGCATTTGTGGCCATGGCTCTCATTGCAAGACCTTTATCCATCATGTCTATGACCAAGTGATCAAAGTCCTTTTCATTTCTGAATCCAACAAAAGCTTCAGAACTTGAATATAGTAAAGAAACAATTAATTGAAAAAGATTAAAAAGACAAAATAAATCATGGGAAGTTGGGATGCATTACATTTGGTCTCCTGGAAAAAAGTAGAGGGCTATATTAACATCAGATGGCTCACACTCCTGGAAACTCTTTGGCCACAGAACAGTCTTGGGGTGCATTTCTAGTTGAAGCAATGATGGCAGCATATTTGCTTCTTTATAAACCTTATCACAAGCTTTGGTTGATAAATGGGCAACAAAACCTTCAAATAGATCATAATCTCTGTCAAGAATACTAAAGCTCCCCCTACCAACATTGAGAGAATAAGCAACACATAAGAAGAAGTCATCTATATGTCTAAAATAATCGTGGTAACATTCATTATGGTACAACTTGATTCGTCATCTGTTACTGTAAGTTAAATCATGTTCTGAGTAAATGCATCCATTTACTGTAGGGTTTTACTGTTTGCAATTGGTCTGTTTCAAAGAATATGTTCTTTGATTACAATAAATAGAACTGAAATCGTAAGCATATTCAAAAGGGTAATATGGACATACAGACATTAGAATCTTCATTTCAAATGAAAAAAGAAGTTTTTGACATCCGGCATCAGTATTCAGACATTCTCCTTGGCCATTTAGATTTGCATGAAGCATACAGCAGTTCACATGAACACAAATGACGGACGACCTAATTATATGTTCAACTATTGCAAATAAATAGATCATCAAAATCCTTACCTCCATACTGGATCAATGATTGGTTGTCCACAAGGTACGTTATTTTCAAAATCTGCTGATTGAGAAAGATTAAAAACAATGTCTTGCTTTGTCTGCAGCTTGTTTGCTTTTTCCGCTTGGCATTCATGGTTGGTAGTTTTATCCGACTCCTCTTTCATGGACGGGGAATCAGAACTTAGCTTCTTATGGCCACGAGGTGGCTGGGACGGTCGAGATTCATGTGTTTGTTCATCTAAAGAGTCAACCACACCTTTGTTATTCTTCAAATTGCTTGCTGTATGATGAATACGATTCTTAGAATGCTTAACTGAATCTGCCATCTTTGTACAAGCCTTTTGAGTTTCAGTTTTCAGGCCACTTCGAAGCTTATGTTCCTTTTTCTTAGCATCCAATCGAGCTGCAATCTTTTTCCTTTTTCCAGGCTTTGAAGAAGTGATCCGTTTATGTCTCGAGTTCAATTTCATCGATGCTTCTTTCAGAGAATCTGTTGGTAGGATGCACTCAGCCTCAGGCTCTGTAGTGCTTTCCTGACAATTAACGACCACTGTCCCTGCTATTATAGAAGCAATATCCCTTTCCTTTTGTTTCTTCTTATGATTGGTTGATTTTACCTGTCCTGAACTTGCAGCTTCCTCTTTCTGGGATCGTGAAGATCTAACTTCGGGTGAAGTAACCTGATTTCCAACTGTTGGTTTGCAGTGTTCACAGTACCAAAGGACACGCTCATTGAATGTCGTCGGCATTACATTTAAGCAGTATCTGAAGAACAACAAAACAGAAAGAACAATGTTGGAGCTCTGAATTGTGTTTCGCTTTTACTTTTTTGTGCATGCCGCAAGTTTATTACTTTCCCTTCATGAAACAAAAGACAATTCTAACAGCAAAAGTCACTCATGCAGAAAATGCCACCAACTACTTGCTATCACTAAAACTCTTTCCACCAACTTTCCTGGTTCTATGGCCACTCAAAATTTTAAATGCTATGTGAATGATTGCCAATTCAGAAATTAAAAAAAAAAACATTTGACTTGTCTGACTTGCATATTGGAATTTATGAAGCAAAATTTGTCTTTAATGTATCAATCTGATGAATAAACCATTTTCTTACTTATTATATTTAATTATATCCATGCTTCCATGCATTTATTAGTTAGTTAATCAAATTACTAACTGATCTTATAATGGAAATATTAACAATCAGGCAATGTAGTGTCAAAGCGAAATTTGGCTGAATGTTTTGGTGGCACAAAATAACTTCTAAGGAATTTTTTTATAATGATCTCCAAGCTATGATATAATGACCCCTTTAATTAATTCCCTATAACCGGAATGGCAGAAATGAATATCGCATAGTGAGAGGAGACCTATAATCTATCAAGAATAAAGAGCTGTTTGGTTCATGAGGGAAATGAAAATGAAATGAAAATGGGAATGAATTTTCATTCCACCTGATTTAACCTGTAATGAAATTTTGGACTTGTGGGGGAATGAGCTGGACGAGGGAAGAAGGGTACTTTAGGTGAACATTGGGAATCAAAGGATACCTCAAAAGGTAGGGTTGGTAGTACGGGCGGGAGGAGGGGAGTTTGTAGTCGTCTGAAGGTGAGACAGGAAGAGGGGCAGTGTTGTGGCAGTTAGGGTCCCAGGGTCTTACGCTATCGGTGATATATCGGATATCGGTCTCTGGAAAAATATCAGTGGTGAAATATCGGTCAAAATATCGGTTCCGATAATATCGCCGATATTTCACCAATACTTTGATGGAAAAATCAGTCCGATATACCGATTTTCTATAAGGCAAATGTTTGGGCTTTTTTTATTACATGTTGGGCTTAGTTTTTTGGGCCTCTTTATTTGGTCGACCAGTCAACACATATATTAGTTCTCACGCTTCTTCTCTTGTTCTTCACAATTCACGCTTCTTCTCTTTTGGGTTCTTTCACAGTTCACACTTATTTCTCTTCTCGGTCTCCTTCATCTACACGGTCTGACTTCTTTATTTGGTCAACCAGTCAACGTATTAGATGATGTTGACTTGGATGCTGAACCTATTACTTGCGATTAGCTTGTTTTTGAACACTTTTCCTATTTTGTTTTGTGAGAATTGTTTATGTGATGTTTTAACTTTGAAACTATATTTCTAAACACTAATTAATGCATATGATATGTTTATGGATGCATATATATATATATATATATATATATATAATTCTAAGAAATATTATATTAACCACTATTTTGGACCGATGTATCACCGATATAACCGAAATATCGAATATCGGTCATGACTGATGTTTTGTATTTTGACCGCAATAACAGCATAGGTCTTACGTTTAATAAACGGTTGTCTTAGTTTTTCCTACCTTACATGAATGCTACTGTTTCTACTTGTGTGATCCACTAGTCTTAGATTTTCTTCTTGTAGTTGTAGCTGTCTACTACACTTTGTGTTTTCTGTTCCCTTGTTTATATATCTTACTTCCCTTACATATTGCCCTGATGCATTTTTTCTGTTTGCTTGTTTGCACGCACTCTCACCTGTAGGTTCTTTATTATTTATTTATTTTGCAAGTCGGGGGTCTTCATAGAAACAACCTCTCTACCCTTAGGGTAGATAGGTAATGTATGTGTATATCCTTAGGAGGGGCGACTACCTATACATGGGATTTATTGGGTCCATTTGGTTGGTTTTGTGATCCCATGTTTGGAACCAGGTCCTTTTATACTTGGTACAGAGATAAGACAAATTTTGGTTGCGTTATTAAGGTGCCAAAACCGCATGTATGACAAACTGATTAGCGCTTGGCATGACAAGAGCTCACAGCAATAGTTAGGGAAAACTGTAAAAAAGATAAACCACAACAATGATGTATACCTATGAATGACAAAGTCCAGACACTTGACGCAATAAACAAAAGCATTGGTGTATCCTTCATCACCACAGGTCTGACATACATTAACCTAGAGCAACAGAACAAAAAACAGCAATCTTAGCATAACCGTAACCATCACAATCATATAATATCTTCGATTGAAACAAGCAACCCTTGAAATATGTTGGGCAAGTTCATGAAAGATATCAAATAGGAAATTATCTTTAAATAACAATAATCTATAAGGGTGGTCAAAAAGCCCATATATCTGCCATATTATCTACAAATGGAAGGTGAATACTCCCTCCATCCCAAAAAAGAAATAAAGAAAAAACTATGACATTTCAATCTATTGCATTATGCCATAAAATCAAGTATCGCATTTGTTCGGGAAAGAAATCAACTTGAATTTTTGCATAAAGTAACACAACAAATTACATACAGGAATTTTTAGTGCTCATTCGTTTATACTCTTTTCCTCTCTTCACCATTCTGTTTGATACCATCTTCGTTTCTTTTATTATGAAATAATTGGACACACAATTTTATCCTTTTACTTAAACATTCCAATGGCCATTTATATAATGCAACTAGAATGAAAATTATTATGCTTTTAAATAGTGATAACAAATGTCAAGATCCATCTGCCTGTCACAATTTCCACAAAAGAAGATTAATACTCCCGCCATCATCCCATCCAACGAAATAGACTACAATTCAGTAATCAAAGGTTTTCAATGAATACTACCTGGATTTTGTCACGAAGCTATACAGCAATTTTATTCGATACAGGAAAATTATTTTTTTCATTAAAATTAGTACACTTCCATTGAAGTAGTTTCCTCGTTGACCATTCTTTTGGCTACCTACTTCACTTCTCTTCCACATCACAAAAACTGGAGAATCACCCTCTCCATCTTATTCGACTTGATCCTTAATATGATACAAAAAGATTGAGAATTTGACTATAATTCCCCTTTACTTAAGTAAGCAGAAATGAGGATCAACTCCAAAATGGAGAATGCAAAATTGTATAAACATATTCACATCAATTTTGCTTTCAGAACTTGAATAGTTCGCTATCAAAATAAATGAACTTATCAAAATTTTCTTGAAACTGATCAGAATCAGTGTCAACTATAAATTTACAAAGTAGGCCATTTTTCATCCTCATGCCGAGTAGAGTATACCAGAGACTAGGGCACATCAAGCACGGTACGACACTCAAAGCTCTATGAAGGCACATTTTGAAAGAAAAAAATAACAGTTAAAATAAAAGCAAACTCAATATATTTTCCCTCCGAAGCCTTACAAAACATCAAATTTGTAACTGTGAATCTTAATTTCAAATGCTAAAAACAGATAAATTAGAGAGAAGAGAAATACCAACCTCCTGTGACGAAATAATTAGTTCCATCCCCTTTAGTTCTTCATGATGCCGGAAATCAATGTGTAGAGAATTTTAAGGTGAGGAAGAAAAACCCTAGAGCCTCCGTTGAAGCAGACGATGAATCACACTTGGAGACAGAGAACCCCCGGAAGACGGAAAAAGCTCCATGACCAGTCCAGAGAAAAAAAACTTTTTAAAGGAAATTACATTCCGGTCCCTGTGCTATGTGATTTGTTTGACTACGCCCCTGATATCCCTTGTACTTCCTTTAACGAAATTAAAAAGATTCTGTTAACCCATTTGTATTTTTTAGCTTCTTATTTTTTGTCTTTTACCCATAGAGACTAAGGGTTTGTTTGACAATTGATTAATGATTAGTGCAAAATGATTGAGAGATTCTCATGATATAGTGCAGAATGATTGAGAGACTCTCATGATATAGTGCAAAATGAAATATAACTGTTCATTAATTGTTTACAATGAAATTAGAATGCTGAATAGTTAAGGAAGACTCATGATACAAAATTATTCAGAAGGTTTTAAAACCATTAAGATGCAGACATTTTTTTTTTCAAACAAAATTCATCTTTTAGCGATTCAGAGGCTGCCTCTTAATAAATACATTAAGAGATAAACAAACAGCTTCTTCTAAAACTGTAATTCTCTCTAACATATATTATACACTTTTTTAACTGAGTTAACAAAATTCGTTATAGAAAAGGGCTCAGAGCATACGTTTTTTTATACCACAGGGACGAACAATGTTTTAAACATGTTTGAGAGACCGTAATAAAGAAAACCAACAAACCACAAGGACTACGAATGTAATTACTCAACTTTTTTATTTTGAGAGTTATAAGTATTAAAAGTCAAAAATCTTTTAAAAATTAAATTCAACTACATTATTCTATTTTAGCGATATCTATATTAAATATCTATACTATATTATAAAATATTTGACAAAAATTCTTACAAACTATTTTTTATATATAAAATATTGTTTATTGATGCATATTACTTAAAATTCAAGATTACAAGTAAATAATGTATAACTACAACTTATTAAAACTCCATATTTGAATTTGTGTAACTAACTACAGATAAACATAATCAAATATTGGATAAACATTTCATTTTAAATATAAAAAATCTAAAATATAATTAGGATAAAATCATTATCTTCTAACAAAATACTTAATTATTAT